TTCCTGAATACCCCTGATTGATTGGGTAATGGAATCACTCACAGTAAATCTGAATTTAGAATTATTATATATAAAGGTTCATGAACGTTTTCCTAATGCACATAGAAACTTAGTGGAATTCTAAAGTATCAATCTGAAATGTCTGATTAGATCGGTTAGAAATCGATTCTCTTCAATAAGATCTTATTACTGGAATCCGATCAAATTGTACAAGTTCATGTTATCCATATTGATAACTACAAATACATCTAAAAATATTTGGATTCTCTAGTGTGTTCCTTATATTTTGAAAATTGTTTTATTGTTTTATCATATGGTACACTGAAATCTATGGTTACTGTTTTATGGATGCACCGACTTAACGGTGATGGCTTATGGATTTGTATCATTGTATAAATTGTATCTTGGAGATACAGATTTGTAAAGTACAGCTCTGATCAAGCTGGAAAATTTTTATGGACCTAATGTGACTCTTAAGTAGGCTCTGCGGCCCTGAGATCATTCTCGAGTAGGCCCTACGGCCCTAAGATGTGTTCTTAGGTAGGCCCCACGGCCCCGAAATCTATATTGGGTAGGCTCTCAGGCCCTAAGATGTTCCCTTAGGTTAACTCTTTGTAAAATACGAGTTTAAAAAGCTCCACTACAGTATGGTTTATGGGATTTTACTGAACTATCATTTGATTAGTGTACCTATTATGATTTTATCGTACTGATGGAACACACTAGATATCCTATTCGACCTCATGAAAATGTGACTGTATGAAAGGTTTCTTTTAAACTGAGATTCATGGATTCTACTCGATGAACTACTAATGGAACCCCAGATTATTCCGCAATTGGTATACATTTGATTCAATAAGGAAATTATGGCTTCCCATTTATCTGCATGTCATGTAGCATCAACTGGTAGTTCTGTATTACTGAGCTTTCCGAAGCTCACTCTATTACTCACCATTGCAGGTTAAAAGAATTGTACCAGTGCATCTATCGATTTCAGTAAGGGAACTCTTCCGGCGTTATTTGCAGAGTATGGTACATGTGATTAGGGGGCATGTAATTGTATTTTGATTTATAAACGAGTCTGGAAATCTGTTTTATTTCTACATACTGATAAATCATTTTATAAGTTACATATTTTAATAAAAGTTTTAAATTTTCCGCTATTTTTACAGTGGGTCGCTCCGGTGGCCCAAATGTGACACCCCGGATCGGATCTGGTTACCAACATCGGTCTGTGGGGGTTACAAGAATATTCATTTTGATCAGTTTCTTTAAAGATTGAATATTCACATGTCCTAATCTAGCATGTCATATAGGGGTGTGCAAAATTACCCGACTTGGTTCACCCGACCCGCCGACCCGACGACCCGGATCTAAAAAAACTGGGTAATTCTCTAAAAAAAAATTACCCGGTCGGGTCGGGTACCCGGCCCGACATTTCCCGGGTCGGGCCCGGGTCACAAAATCTAGTTTTTCCGGGTACCCGGTTACCCGAGTACCCGATTAGTTTTTATTTATTTTTTTATTTTTTTATATAAAATTATATAAAATATAATGAATTATTTATATTATGATTATTATATTTTGTATTTCGAACTTTTAAATTTTATGTTCGGATATTAGAGTATGTAATTCAAAGTTTCGAACATTTAAATTTGTGTATATATTTTTTAAAATTAATAATTTGAAAATTAAAAATTAAAAACCGGGTATCGGGTACCCGATTACCGGGTACCCACAAAATCCGGGTACCCGATTACCGGGTACCCGTAATATCCGGGTCGGGACACGGGCCGAGAAATTGTCGACCCGGAAGTTCCGGGTACCCGGATTTGCACACCCCTAATGCCATATATCAACAGATTCAACAGTGTAAGCAGAAATGGTAGGTTTGTTATCATTAAGTTAAGTTTATATGACAAATAAACCTTTGTTCAAAAAATCTTTCCCAACATAATCACCATTTTGAGAAAGTATAAGTTTATCTGCCTCAAAAACTAACTTAATGTCTGCCTTATTCAAAAGCCTACCACTTATTAAATTTCTACATAGGGAAGGTACATACATGATATTATTTAGGGCTAAAGTTTTACCAGAAGTCAGCTTGAGTAAAATCTTGCCTTTGTCTAGCACTTCAGAGTTGCTGGAGTTCCTCATATACACACGTTCATCTTCTTCCCTATCCTCGAACTCGGTGAAAAACTCCCTTGTTGTGCAGAAATATCTGGAAGTGTCGGTGTCAACGATCCATTCAACATTGTTCTCCACTAGATTCACCTCTGAAACCATTACCGCGATGACATCAACATTGTTCTTCGTAACGTTCAACTGTGGTATGTTCTCATTCTGGCGGTCTGAACGGTGTTGGCACTGGTAAGCTGCGTGGTCAACTTGATCGTACACATAACACTTGATAGACTTGCCTTTAGCTTTGGACTTCTCTGGATTCTTGAATGGTGCCCTTTTGCGGCTTGGTCTTCTTTTTCTGATTCCTCTTTTTCGCATTATTTTTATACTTAGACCCTGAGGCAACACCAGATTCAACTAAGTTAGCTTTAAAGGATAAATTACCAATAGAGTTAGTAACCTTATCCTTTAACCGGTTAGCCTCTTCTATTTTAATGTGGCCCACCAGCTCCTTAAGTGAAATGTCCCTCTTTTTATGTTTAAGAGAGTTACAGTAATCGGATCAGGACTTGGGAAACTTCTCGATTAGGACGTTAGCTTGCAGTACTTTGCACATTTGCATTCCTTCAGCTAAGATGTCGGAGACCGTATTTTCATAATCATGGACTTGGTCTATAATAGGCTTGATGTCAGTCATCTGAAACCTCAACTACCCGCTAACGACGTACTTCTTGATGCATGCATCATCAACTCCATACTTTTTCTCGAGGGCATCTTATATAACTTTGGCATTTTTTCTTTGAGGAACATGTCGAAGAGCTTGTTCGACATGTGGCTTAGGAGTTGGCCTCGCACCGTCTTGTTTTCTTTTTCATACTTCTCAGCAGCAGTGACTAAGTGACTAAAGCAACAACAACATCAGACGGAGTGTCATCACCACCAACAACAATTTCAGTTGAAGTAGTCCATGGAGTAGGTGGTGGCGGCTTTAGCAGCACGTAATCGAGATCAAGTTGCTCGTAGAACATGAGAAATTACTGGGACCACCTTCGATAATTTGAACAATCGAATCAATCGAAACCGTGCCATGGTGATAACCACTGCCTTATAAACAAATTCACCCCGAAGTGTTTAATCACTGCTACAGGCGGATTGTCCCCCGAGGTTAACACGGTCATTCCGAAATTCCATACACCTAAAAATAGAGTGAACTGCCTGTAGTACTGCTCCTTTGAATCACCAAATAAAACTCTAAAAACTTAGGAAACTTTGAGTGTTGAGAGAGATGTGAGAATTGGGAGTGAATTGGTGAGTTGAGAAGCTTATGAAACTCTTTATTTATAGGCTTTACGTTAAGGGTAAAATGGTCCAACAAAAATCAAATATAAATTTGGCATCAAATCAGTCCAGGTTCGTGCAATAACTCTCAGCCATTTGTAACTTCAGATAGAATCTGCGTGGACATGTTGAAGCCACATCGACGCAGGAGATTGCCCCTTATTCTCTATCACTCAACAAGGAATGGAAGAATGCACACTATAAATACCCAAGTCAGTGGTATTTCCTACTCAACATGAGATAGTGTACTTTTCGCGTTACCAACAAGAGAAACACAACAAGAGGTAAACATGTCAGCTAAATAAACATAAATTGTAGCTTTTGCACCATCCTTTTTCTTCACCATTTGTCTCTAACCTACAATACCTCAACTAATGCTCCAAAATGTACTAAGGAGTAATAATTAGATTTTCAGTAGTTATATAATACAAGTATATATATGACATCAAAATCTATGATAAAGTACACAAACGATCCTTCGACTATAAGGTACTATTTTAATAAATCCCTTAACTATTAAAAGTTATAAAATGATCATCTGACTATAAAATGTTACTTTGTTAAGTCTCTCGACTATTAAAAGTTACTAAATGGTCACACGACTATTCAGAAAAATTGCTCTCGTGGGATAGTGAAAAACATTATTCGCTCATATAGAGCCTTTCCGGATTTATTTTCTGATCTGATGTGAATGCTACAATGCTCGTCGGAAGACGTCGGCAACACAATGCGTCTTCGAGAAGACGCAACGACCACAATGCATCTTCAGCTTTGTTCTTATGGTAATTTTGGCATTCCAAATACGTAAAAAATGGGAAAGAATGGGGAAGACGCATTGTGTTTTTGAAGTCTTCCCTGAAACTATAACGATCACATCATCTTAATTATTTCTTGCAAGAAATAATTATGGCGAGTCTCTATGCGAGCGAATAAAATCGATTTACATATCAATTAACTATGCGAAAATGATATAATTAGTTGGATGATAATAAAGTTTAAAATTATAAAGATTAGACCCTTTCCCCATTAATTTGTCATTTAATTTCTTATACTACTTTAACAAAAATCTAAACAAATCTTTGGGAATTGACTAATCAAATAATTACAAAATGCTATGTGACAAAAAAATGCAATCGTGGAGGAAATTAATGGAGTCTTGTCTTTCCATTCAAGCTTTGCTTCACTAATCTCAAACTCTCAAGCTAAACAGTTGAAGAGAAAGTGGAACTATACGCAAAAGCAAAAAAGCAAAAGGAAGACGACACTGGCTGACTGTAAAGTCTCACCCCCACCATATGCGAGACTGTACATCTCCATATATTGAGCTGCAGGCTGCTTTCCTAAATCCGTAATTACGATAAACATGACAAGATCGAAATACATCCGACATTATAATCTTAGCGTTTGTACCATGGATACAGATGGTGAGATTAGGGGTAGTGGTGTTTTGTCACACCGGATGGATTGGAAACTGTGGAAGTTGACACACAAATAATTGTGGTCTGTATAAATATGTGACGTTCTAAACCTCAAAACTCTACAAGAGATACAAGTGGAGGAACACAGCAATGGCAGGGTTCAAGCATCTTGTTATTGTTAAGTTTAAGGCCGATTGTCCGGTCGACGACATACTCAAAGGAATGGAGAAGCTGGTTTCGGAGATCGACGCCGTCAAATCATTCGAATGGTATGCTTTTCTTTTCTTTTTTAAGGTATTGTCTCAGGGAAACATGGATTTTGCATTAGCCTGTTTTCTTGCAGGGGACAAGACATTGAGAGTGAAGAGATGCTTAGACAAGGGTTTACACATGCCTTCTTGATGAGTTTCGACAGCAAAGCGGAATATACTGCGTTTGTGGGACATCCAAGTCATGTTGAATTCTCTGCAACGTTTTCTGGCGCCATTGACAAGATTGTGCTCCTTGATTTCCCTTGTGTTGTTGCAAAGGCTTCGGCTTGATTGATGATTTTCGACAATGCATAGATCGGCTTCTGTCGTTTGTTATGTCATTATCTCTTGTATTTGTGCATCTATGTGTTATGGTTTGTAATTTCTGAACAATCTGAATTTGTCTTATGTTTTGTGTTCGAATATTTAAAGACGCACAGTAAGGTAAGAGTTGGTGATACAAATAATAAGGTAAGAATCGTTTGATTGGGTTCAGTTCTATGTATGTTTCTTTTAAACACAATCCTACTGATAAAATATTTTATAAAAAATTATATTTTACTATTATTAACCATTACATAATATTTTATAAATATTGGTTAATACTTCTGAGTATTCGAATAGCAGATGAAGTAATTTTATTTTCTCATATGATGGAAGAAATAAGTTGAGAAAGGGAAGATTGTACAAGAAAGTTGACAAATTAAGACAAATAATCAAACATGGACACAAGTGAATAGTTTGTTTATGTATTCTTACAGGCATAAATCAACAAAGAGAATTCAACTCTGTCATGTTCATTCTGCGACAACATCTCCTCCAACCAAAGCCGGCTGTCGAGTCCCCTTCTTGTCCTAAACATGAACACAGCAGAGCCGGTGACCGGCTTGAAGAACCAGTCATGGACATCCCACATCAGATCAATTAACAATCCGTCAACGAATATTGTCTGGTTTCCTCTAAAATTCCACAGCAATCTCTTTACATGAATTACCGTCTTTTTGTCGATACAAACGGATAAAACAAGATGCTTTAGGCCCTGATGTTCTCCGCTACATCTAATGGAAACATCATGTAAGATGCCCGTGTCTCTGAATCGAGCCTTGGTCGAATAATGTGTATTGCCCGAACAATGTTCTTGCCGAGAAACTAGACACGATTTCGCCACTTTGGTGGTGCTAGTCTTGAGCTTCTTCGTAATAGTTTCTTCACCGACATGGCCTAGAACAAGGCCCATCTCCGAATTGACCATGACCACAACGTAGAATCCGTTGATCGGTTCGGGTCCCACGTCGTACTCGGCTGTCGATAGATCCCAAATGACCTCGATCTTCGAACGACCAGATTCGGTCACTTTGCTTCCTTTCTTCTTCCCGAAAAACTTCGAATTCGTGTTGAGCTTGAAACATGCAGAAGGGTCATCGTCACCGAAGCTTATGACAAGACCTTGACTGGTCTGATTCTTGGACCATGTGGCTCTGACCAACAGCTGCTTGCCGGTCGAAAGAATCACTTTGTAAACACATGTGACGGCACTTTTTAGAGAACGAACTGAACTTTGAGAGATGCAGGCATTGCTTGGATAGCTTGAGCATGAAGAATGAGAAACATTGACAGCATTTTCACTAAAACAAGAAATAATATCTTTCATTGTCCTAAAAAAAACAGGAACATATGTTGGGAAACCGGACAAATTTCTGTTGGAAACAATAACAAAGCAGGCACAGATTCATCAGTATATAATCAATCTGCAATAAACAGGAAAAGAAACAGACGTGAAATGCCTGAAAATCCTTCCAAGCTATGTTTTCTTTTATCTCTTTAGCCACAGATCATATGAAATATTTATAAAAAAAATTATAAAAAAAAGGAATAAAAAAAGCTAGAAGAAACAAGCTGGAGTGTTGGACTTGGACCTGGTCTGAATAACAGCATTTGTCGTCATCATATAGGAGAATTTGTATATTTCTTTTATACAACCACTTATATTTCATCCCTATGGTTAATCAAAATCAAATATTATAAATTTTATTTTAGTGATTTTTTTTCTTAATTTATTGGCAGAAGGGTCATTGCTACTCATGTAGTAAACTCAATTTATCATTTTTATCCCTATCGTATTTTTCATCAATTTAACTATCTAAGTTGTCTATGGTATTCATCTTAACCCTCGAAGTCCGTATTGACTAACATAACTATTACTCTTCTGCATTTTTCAACACTAGTAATTTCCAGATCAACCAAATATTACTGATGTAGCTTGATGATGACGTGACATTTATTTAAAAAATTAATAATAAAATATTTACTAAATACAACAATTAGAAAAAATCTTCAAAAATTTCACTTAATCTCTTAATCACACTGAAATAAATAATAAAATTTTAGGAATTTATTGTAACCAATGTGTTTAATAAATATTTTAACCTAATCCCTTAATTCACAGATGCAGAAGACTCACAGTTTTGTTAGTAAAAAATAGTCAACGGACATAGAAGGCTAGGATGAACACCATCGACAACTTCGAGTGCTATATTGATGCAAAAAAAATGATAGAAACAAAAATAATAAATTATGTATAATACAAGAACAATAGTGACCCTTAAGTTTAAATTATTCAATTTATATTATTAGAATTCAAATTATTATCCTTACCTCATTCGTTACGAAGAATATCTGAATAAAAAAATAATTTAAAATTCCTTATTTCAATGTCAAATTCCCGATGATATCATTGGACATGTTGCCATTCATATATGAAGCAAAAGTAACTTGGTCAACTCGTGAGATAGTGATATATAACTTGCTCAAATTCCAAGATTATTATTATATATCGAGATGCTCACACGTCTTTGTTTATATTAACCTATTCCAAAATATAATGATAAATATATTTAATTTTTAATAAATTTGAAGAGAGAGAGAGGAGGAGAGCGAGAGAGAGAAATACCTTACCATAGTGCAAATGTTAGGTTTAAGGTGAGGTTAACTATTTGTAGGTCTTCAGGGTGAATAGAATTGACTATCACATAGTAGATTTAGTAGGTAATGGAATTGATAACAGTCACATCAAACGACGGTAACAGTAATAGATGTAAGAAAGATAAACAACGGATTGCAGAACAGATAATGCGTACAAGAATAAATATTTGAAGGTACCGGGACAAAAGAGGAAGCATGCAAGAATAAACCTAGTTTTATTGCTGATGGATCGATAGTACAAGCATCATTCACCAAGTAAACCTCAACCCACAATTTCGAAAATCACTACTAAAATAAATCCCCTGGGGTGTTGCTTGCCAAAAGCAATTCCCAGACTGTTTGCACGACCGAGTTTCATCCCTGGATACAAAAACGGTGATATCATTCAAGGACTTGGGTCCCCAGCTGAAGTTGCACACAAAATGAGTTTTCCTCCAAAAATGAGTGATGAACTTGAACTTGAACTCTTGATCCTTCCAAAGAGCATGGTGTTCGAGATCGTCGTCGTTTGAATGGCACGTGATCTCCAGCGGCTTCGCATTGTCCGGCATGCCATTGATGATGTGAACCTTGAATCGCACACGTAAAAGCACTTTGTCCACCGATTCTTCATGTCCAAGTGGCGTTTGAGAGATGAAACTTGCAAGCAAAAGCATGCAAAAGAAAGGTCTTGTTACGGTATTATGATTGTAAGACATTTTTGCTTTGCATTGGATAAAGATGGGATGGTGTATTTGTATGAATGGAAAAGGAATAATTTAAGGAATCAAATTACATAAAAAAAAAGGAGTTTCAGTTTGTAAATTATGTAGCATTTACCCTGTACTGAAATTATGCAGGAGAAATACAGTTCCACATTCATTATATTAGCCGTTGGTAGGGGTAAATTGGATATATAATAAATTTTCTTTCAACCTCTTAATGTATTTTTATTAATCTAAGTGATGACTTTCAATCATTTGATAATAAATTTTCAAATATCCTATAATCGTTAATGCTCTATTCGATATCTCTAAAATTAATAATCATCTCTTCAACCATTGAGATAACTTGATTTGTTCTCTTAATATATTTTTTTTTTGAAGAACTATATGTTCATTAAACTAAGAACCCAAGGTATAACAAAGACAATACAGCGTCAACATGGAAATTTAAAGGGCGAAGAAATCTAGCAATTATCCATAATCTCCTGTGTATGTTCAAAACTAGACGCAATATTAATGTAAGTGTGAAGATTGAGAGAGTTAATTTAACAGATTGTTTCGCGAACAATGTTGAACGCTTCGTCAAACTATCGCAAGAGGTCATCTAACTATACGAGACTATCATTGTTTCATGATTGGGAGGTATGCCGTGATGAATGCAACATAAAAACATCAAACCATGTAAACGATAGATAAAATTGTGTCATAAAAATAAAGTAACACGTACTATAAAAGTAAACAAAAATCAAACGCTTCAAGAATATACTAAAAGAAAGAAATCAAAACGAAAATGATGATTATTTAGATCTAAATCAAAATAAAACTAAATAAAAAGAGAGACCACAATCTCAGACCGCCTCTTGGAACAGTGTTTTGAAAGAAAAAATTAGATAATTATTTTTATTTTTAATTGTACTTGTATTTAGAAAAGGCATAAAAATAGTTAAAATGATTAATTAATTAATTATTAATATATGTCGATTGAATTTTAATTTGATTAGTATGATTATAATTATAAGATTAATGTAAATGGTCTTCAGAACATCGGGGCATCTTTGGGCAAACAAATTCATTGGGACAATTTCTCAGAAAATGAAAACTTCAAGTTTCTTGTAATTATCTTTGTTGGAATAAATATATAATAATGCAATTATAATTTAATTTATAAAATATTTAAAAATAATTAACTATGATTTTCCAAGAGAATATAATATTTTAACGTTGATAATTTTATTTGGAATATACAAAAATAAAGGTAAAAAGTATTTTTTACAATTTTTTAATTTAACAAACAACCATTATGCTTTTTAATTTGATTAGTTTTAAATTTGTGTTTTTTCAAATTTTAAAATTTCAGTTTTGATTTAGATAATATATAAGAACAATAATTCTTGGTTGTTTGTTAAATTTAACTTTTTATTTGGACGAGCTTTCTCTAGCAACAAACGAAGATTCTTTATAAGTTGTCTGGGTTCATGTATATGTCTTGAAGGGCATAGATTTTTTCCGTACAAACCTTAAGGGATCTAGGAGTTGGTGTTTGAGGAAGCTTCCTGCTTTGCGAGATGAAGCACATCCTAATTTGGATGCTACGAGTGCTCGTGGATTAGGGTTGGAGAGTAGGGTCAAGAAGCACATAGTTCCTTGGTATAAATTGATTTGGTTTCCTTTTCATGTGCCAAAGCATGTTATTATTATCTGGTTAGCCATCTTGGGGAGGCTTAATACGAGAGGCTTGATTGTTAATGGGTCGCGTGTCCTTTGCTATTGTGCTGCTGAGACAAGAGATCACCTATTTTTTTGACTGCTCTTTCTCAAAGGCGAATTGCTACCTGTGGCTTGCAAAGGCCTATGGGTGGGTGGGACTTGGAGTTGCAGTGGGCCGTTAAGATGCTGAAAGGTAAGTCCCTCATCTCTTTCATCCTCAAGCTAACTTGGAATGTTCTCATCTATTTTGTTTTGCTTGAGAGGAATGGAAGGATCTTTGGTAACCATGCGAGCAGTGGGGATGTTGTTTTTGAGTCTATTAGGATAATTGTTGGAATTAAAGCCTATGGTAAATGTATAGATAGAAATGACGAGATAAAAATTTCTCTTTCTATAATTTAGGGTGCGTTTGGTTTGAGGTATGTGAGATTCTTGAGAGAATATTTTTTCCGGAATGTGATTAATCCGTTTGGATCGCAAAGACACCCAACCCCCGGTAATAAGCCATTTCCAACATTGGCATTTTGGGGGCTTATTACCAGGAATGTGATTCCCTCACTCACTTAGTTATTGTTACATTCCCGACATTTTGGACTAAAATGCGCTTAAAACAATTTTTTTTTTCAAAATTATCATTCTTTTGTCGTTGAATAAAAAAATTTGTGTGAAAGTTAAATTACAAATTTATCCTTAAACTATTTTAGATTTACAAAAATAAAATTCTATAATTATAATTTTATATGAAGTTCAGGGGTTAAAATAATATTAAACCTATTTATCTTTTAAATTTTGTAAAAAAAATTATATAAATTTTATGAATTTAAATTTTATAAAGAAAATATATAAATTAATTATAGTAAAATTATATATTTTCACTGATCTTACATTCCAATATTTTCATTTAAATATTTAAAATTCAACTTGTTAAAAATATATATATAATAAGAACAATTTGATAAAATATACATTCCAATAATCTTTTATTCTTTTAATCAAACACTATAATTTTACATTTCTGCTAAACGAACCAAACACAACAATGCAACATTCTCAATAATATGTTAGGTAATATTACATTCCCGTAATCCTATTCCCGGAGGTAATGCTACATTAAGATCCTATCTCTTTGTATGATGCTCTATTTTCTGTAGCAGCTATGCTGCCCTCTTTGGATATAAAGAAATCAACTTATCCAAAAAAATACTGATATTTGAATACAAAAATATTGATATTTATTTAAATCAGAAAATATGTTTTATTCATATTTAATTGTAAAATATTTAGATGCCCACACGACAAGAAATTTTATCCATCTTGTCTTTTTCTTTCTTTGCTTTTACCCATTTTTATGATAATGTTTTGATATATTATATTGGCTCATTAAAAGAGTACAATAATTGAATTTATTATTATATAATTAAGGGTAAACTACACCAATGATATCTCAACTTTTAGGTCCTTATAATTTGGACACCTAAATAAAAAAAAAGTTCATTTTATCGTTAAAGAATACTTTCGTTTGAGTCAACACATCAACGTATCATTTTTTAATAAACATATATTTATAGTAAAATGGTTAATAAGATCATCTTATCAGGGGCTTATTTTAATAAAAAACTGATTTGTGAGTGTATTGACTTTCACGTTATGAACGGTTTAATGATAAAATGTTGAGATAAAATCATTCTTTAATGACAATAACTGAAATAAGAGTTTTTCAATTTGAGTGAATAAAGTACAAGGACCCTAAGAATTGGATGACAATCGATATAATTTACCCTATTATTAGAAAAAACAGTGTCATAAAGTATAACATATGTACGTTAGAAGCAATTGAATGAGTGAAAACAACGAATACGTACACTTTCAACAAAATAAATATTATATATATATATATAAAAGAAAGGTTTTAATTTTTTTAATTTAAATTACTTATTTAAAGGTATTTTCTAAATCTGAATTAATACAAAATTATTATAATAAATGCCGTTTATTCATTTTTAATAAAATGATTGTAAGAAATGTTTTTTTAGTAAAAACACAATAGAAAATGTTTTAATATGATTTATGAATTTTATTTAGAGATGAATTTGTTGTTATTTCTTTTAATATATTTTATTTATAAAAGAATTATTTTATTTTTCATTACTTTTTTAAAGAGGATGGGAGTAGGTGTGAGATTGACCGAAGCAACTTTGGCAGGCCGTTGTGTATATAAAATCCATCATCGTCTTCCATTCTTTTCAGCTTGAGGTTCCCTTTCTCCGAGAGAACACCAAGCTTTCTATTCTTTCCTCTTTGGTTTTTCATAAGGAGAAAATGCAGACCCTTTCTCACTGCCAAAATCTTCATAATTCTTCTCCTCTAATTCGATCTTCCACGCCTCGGTTCCATAAGCTGATTCGGTTGGCCGTACGTTGCGCCTACCACTCTGACTCCGTCCAATTCCCCAATGGCGTCGGTTCGAGCCGGGCTGATTGGCAAAGCTCTTGTGCCATTCTCTCTAGTAAAGTCTTTTCCCAGAACCAAGATTCCCACGACATATTTGAACCTTCCTCCGTCGCTTCCGCCGTAAACGGCTACAAAACCTCCTTGGATCTCAACCTGGTCCCTCTCGACGAGAGCGACAAGCCTCAACCACCTTCGAGACCGCATCTACAGAAGCCGTTAACCGTAACCGATTTGTCTCCTTCTCCGATGCACGGCTCTCAGCTGCGTGTGGCTTACCAAGGAGTCCCCGGTGCTTACTCGGAAGCTGCGGCGGGGAAAGCTTATCCTAACTGCGAAGCCATCCCTTGTGATCAGTTTGAAGTTGCGTTTCAAGCGGTTGAGCTTTGGATTGCTGATCGAGCCGTCTTACCGGTGGAAAATTCACTTGGTGGTTCGATTCATCGGAACTACGATCTCCTCCTCCGGCACCGCCTCCACATCGTCGGTGAAGTTCAACTCCCAGTCCACCACTGCCTCTTGGCTCTCCCGGGTGTAAGGAAAGAGTACTTGACGCGCGTCATTTCTCATGCACAAGCTCTCTCTCAGTGTGAAAACACGATCACCAAACTCGGCATCAACGTCACGCGCGAAGCCGTCGATGATACCGCCGGAGCCGCCGAGTACGTAGCCGCGAACAACCTCCGTGACACTGCCGCAATAGCAAGCTCACGCGCCGCCGAACTCTACGGACTCAACATCCTGGCGGATGGAGTCCAAGACGATTCGAGCAACGTAACGCGTTTCGTGACGCTAGCTCGGGAGCCAATCATCCCGCGGACGGACCGGCCGTTCAAAACAAGCATCGTGTTCGCGCACGAGAAAGGAACGAGCGTGCTTTTCAAAGTGCTATCGGCGTTCGCGTTTAGGAACATCAGCTTGACGAAGATCGAGTCGCGGCCGCACCGGAACAGGCCAATCCGGTTGGTGGACGACGCCAATGTGGGAACGGCGAAGCATTTCGAGTACATATTCTACGTGGATTTCGAAGCATCCATGGCGGATGTCAGAGCCCAAAACGCGTTGGCCGAGATCCAAGAGTTCACCTCTTTCTTGAGGGTATTAGGCAGTTACCCGATGGATATGACGCCTTGGTGCCCGTCAACGGAAGATCACCAAACCCCATGAAAATCAAAATTATATTAAAAAAACAAATAATTTGCAAAAAAAAAATTGTTGAAATTAATTTTATATTTATTTATTTCCGGTTAATTCACCAACAATCAAAAATAAATTGTTGCTGCTGGTGATGTTGGATAAATGTTTTTTTAATTATATAATTCATTATGTCCTTCCAAAACTAGTTTGAATATAAGGATTATACCATGAAACACTAATATATAATTTTTTTTTATTATACTAGACTAAGTACAATACAATATTTGTTCAAAAATAACTTTCAGTCATTTGACATTTAATGTTTATCCCTCTGGTATTTTTATTGCTCGAACCTGAAACCTTAAAGAGTAACAATAATTTTATTACTACTGAGGTAACTCGATTCGTACAAAATTGAGAGATGTAACACTAGGAATTCCCAAAATGTTTGAATAGAAAAATATTTTTTAAAATATAGTTTTTAAAATTGTTTATAAAGTATTATCTATAATTTCAAAAGTGTATTCGATTCTACATGCATTTTTAATAAACAATGGTGAATGGGAGACTCTCAAGTGTTTTAAGGATTCTCGGGAAGATTGGGAGATTTTTTTTTTACTAAATATGTTTTGATATGATTATGAATTAAGATTGGGAGTAAATGAGCGTAGTCAAAAATATGAAAAAGAAAATAATATTTTAGATTAAATTAAATTTAAAATGTTATACTTTTTTAATAATTTAAGCTAAATCTAAAATATTACGAACACGTAATATTTTCAGTTGTTAATCAAAATTGATAAATCGAAAATGTTGTCAAGAAAGTGACACTTTAGGTTTAACAGAAAATATTAACACCTAACTTAAAATATTTTGTTTTTCATCATATTTCAAATGACATGCACTTATTTATTTATATTTAACCGTAAATTAGACTATAATTCCTTAGATTTTTTTGGATAGATTATATAGTAAATATTTGGTGATTCAAGATTTAAAAGAATATATAGAGAAATGAACCATATAGTAATTTTAAGAGATATAATGCGATAAATATATTGGAAGAGATTCGTCTTGCCCGTCTAGCTTAGTTGGTAGAGCACAAGGCTCTTAATCTTGTGGTCGTGGGATCGAGTCCCACTAAGGGTAATTCATAACGGAGGTCTTCCACGAAAACTGCTCTCAACCTAACGTTAAGGGCAGCCTACTACTCTGTCTCTCCCTTAACCCATTACATATGAGAATAGGTCAGCTAATTTTTTTTTTATATCGGAAGGGATTCCATTATATCTTTTATTTTGATCCGGTGGGGATGCCTCAAAATCTATTGGTTGGACATGACAGTATAGGTAAGATATGAATAAACAACTATTACACAAATATTAATATTTTAATATATAGAATGACCCACTCAATCTAAGCTAAAAATTAAAAAGTTCGAATTATTTCATTAGTTTCTGTATCATATTTGATTTATAAGTTTAATCTTGACCTAAACAGTACAAGAATAGTATAACTAAATTGTATATATTTAAAGGGTTCAAATTGGTTAAAATTTATTATTGTTTTTTTAGAGATTTCAAGTTTAAGTAATTATATTTACGGGCTGTGTGCGTTGTCATTGATTAAAAAAAATTATATACATATATTACCTTATAATCACTATGTATATTTAAATTTATATTATATATAAAAACAGCTGCGCCCACCGAAAGGAGAAGGGGGAAATAATAATTTGACTACTAAAAAGGTAGTTTACTCTAAATATAATTACTAAAGTTTTTAGCCGAACATGAAAGGTAGTTTATACTAAAGTTTACTCTAAATATAATATTTACATTTTTTTCTAAAGTTCACGGGTTCAGAGTATTAGAAACTCAGTAGGGTGATTGAGCGTTTATTATTGGTTAAGAGTATTTAAAACAAATACTATTTCGTAATCATCTTAGCATAATAAAAAAAATTATTCACGGTCTTTTATGATTATAAATTGAAGAATATCATGTAGTTAAGTAGGTTTGAATACACATTTTAGTATATGTGATAACAATAATAATGTCAATCGAACTAAGATTCAAATAAGGGCGGACGCCTGATTTATGTTAGGAATTACAAATTTTTAGAGAGTTATATTAGAAATTTAAGGGTTGTTATATTACAAAATTTCAGAAGATGAAAAATTAGATTATCAATACAAAATACAAAGAAAAAAACTTAAACTATATGAAAAATCATAATTTTCAAGACTACGACCTCCCCCAACATCTTCTCGATCCATCCCAAACTCTCAAACTTTTATCTAAGAAGACTATGTAATAAATTTATATACATGAATTACTTAGGCTTCCCTTTGTGAATTAGATTTGCATTGCATTACAACATTATTATTATTATTATTATTATTATTATTATTATTATTATTATTATTATTATTATTATTATTATTATTATTATTATTATTATTATTATTATTATTATTATTATTATTATTATTATTATTATTATTATTATTATATCAATGTATGCTAAAATAAACTAATTAATGAAGTAGATTGGTCCCTTTCCCTTCAATTATTTAGGTCACTTCAAACCTAAAATAGTCAATTTCTAAATCTAAACTAATTGTCATTCATAAAAATTATATTTGGAGCATAACTAAATAAATTATTTTAATTTCAAAATTTTTAATGTTATATCATCATGTAAAATTAAAATATCCTTTTTCCCTAATATTAAAAAAGAAAAAAAAAACTCATTTACATAATACTTACCACTCACCAACCTAAGAGTTAATAAGTCTAAATTAAATTGGGTAGTTAAAATGACAGTTAATAATAATAACAACAACAACAACAATAATAGAGCTTCTTATATAATTATTGGAATATAACTTTAAATTTTATTAATATTAAATTTCGAATTTTACCTTAAATGATTTCTTCTACTACTATAATTAAAATTAATTATAAATTATATCAATTAAAAGTACTTAAAAATATATTAAAATTGTTTGGGTAAAACAATCAAAGATAATAATAAGACTAAATTATAAATTTCATCATTTAATTTTCTTCTCACTCTTATATTAGTCACTAAAATTTAAAATTTTATGTTTACTCATATTTTGATCACTTAAGTTTTAAATCATAAATGAACTAGTACATGACAATCACGTGTGCTTGTGTAGAATATTTTTTTATTGACATGAAATTCATACGTCATCTGGTTCATTACACCTCTTTTATTTCTTTTGTTGATTTTATCTTTTTCACCTAAAGATGATAGATGCAATTGTTATTATTTGGCGTCATTTTTGACCACTCAAGATATTGATAAACTCACCTCATTTTCGTGTACCACTCTATTAGTTTAGATTTTACATAAATCACTTTAAAACTATCTTATATAGTTTAGATTTTACTTGAATCACTCATTATATTGTTTGTTTATTGTTCGTCATTGTTAGTTTGTTACACGAATTATATCGATAGTCCTTACAACATCATGTGTAAATACCAACTATCTTATATAGTTTGAGTCTTGACATTATAAATGGATTAAGTTAGATTAATAGAATTGTCCCTTTAATAAACTATACGATATTGTTAATATCATTAAACTTTCATTTGTTTTAGTTATAACATTGAATTTTAATCTTAGCTTCGATTTTATCAATTTACCTAAGGTTCAATGTTATAATTAAAGTAATCGAAAGTTTAGTTATGCGAACGATAACACCTAAAGTTTAATAACACACAACGTGATTTACTCTGAAAATTATGATATTTACTCAACTATAATATATTAAGCGAATTAATTAAATTTGAAATAGGGTTTGGTGAGGGGAGATGAGGAGTGGTAGGTGGAGATATGGTAGTTGAAAGGCAATGACCAATTACGATCCCCTCATCTCGCGCTTACGTACGTCGGTAATTCCTCCGCTCCCCATGCTTAGGGATGATAACTTAATTCGAAATTGATGAATTTTGATTATATATTGTTGATTTTTTTTTAAAAAAAAAAATTCACGTTTGAGTCGGGTCGAGTCGAATTATTTATGGGAGTGAGGTTGGTAAGGTCGAGTTAGGGTGGAAAGTGAAAAACTCGGACCCAACGACTCGGGAATAATAGTGTAATTTCTTTAAAAATATTATTAATTTAAGGGTAAAGTATAGTAATGGCCATTGAACTTTTCTAAAGCTTTCATTTAGGTCCCACAACTTTTAAAACTTGCAATACAGTCCTTCAACATTTAGTCTGTATGATCCCGACGTAACCGACCGTTTAACGCCGTTACACTGCCGTTAGTACGTTTACAATATGGTCATTGAACTTTTCAGGCGCTTGCATTTAGGTCCCTCAACTTCTAAAACTTGCAACACAATCCTCAATTTCATTCTAAACCCCAAATTCATTTTCGATCTCGAATTTCCTTTTTCTCTTCTCTCTTCTCATTTCCAGTGTAACTTTTCAGTCAGGGGTGCATGAGAAATTCTAATATAACTTTGAATTATGTGGATGTGTTGACTTGAATAAAGGTTCATTGAGAGAAGACCCGACCAATGGACTATCGGGACCATCAATTATTCAAGGTGTAATGTTAGATAAGATCATCTCAGATGAAGCATAGATGTTCGATGAAATGCTTGTGAGAAAAAAATGGGGTTAGAAATGCAGAGTTGGCAAATACTACTAAGATGAACTAAGTTTCATTGTTGAAAGTCAGCAACAAAGCTGTAATTATTTTGTATAAATGACATATAAAAATTTCTTCGTTTAATCCTTGTGGTTAAAGATTTTCCAACAGATGATCAAATATAATGAAATCACAAACAGCGCATTTAATACTCAAAAAATTAAAGTGCATCATAACATGTAGTAAGATACATAAATTTTTATTTTGGTTCATGTTACGATTTGAGAGTAATTTTATTCGAACAAAAGTAATATAAATAAACCTCTTTCAATAATAATGATGACTTGAATTTAATTCGAATGTATAGAGATATTTAATGCTACTTCTTAAAACCATTGATATTATATACTTTTTAAGATATTTATTGCAAATA